TATACGAACTGGAATATACCTACCCTAAGCAAAACTATGATTCATACTACGTACTCCCTCTGGTCCCAAATGAAATTCACACTTTGACTTCACACAAATTAAGAAAATAAATTTGACTTTACTGTAGAGTATATTGTTGTGACACTGTGTGACACTGTTTGGTACTGTTTGACACTGTTTTGCACTGATTTGATGTAGATAATTTGCAAAATAAGGAAGGAAGAAGAAGTGTTAAGTTTATTTTGGATTTAACCAAAAAGAAAAATGTGAATTTCATTTGGAACCGCACGAGTATTAAATAAATAATTCTAAAAAAAATTGTCGAAAGACTATTTTGATATATGGAGTAAAAAATATCCAAGGTTGGAGAGTGTCTTAGGACAGGGCCGTAGATGAGGCTGTGCAAGCTGGGCTACTGCACAGGGTCTCCAAAAATACAAGGCCAATTTTTTAAAATTTAAATAGTATATGTATATAAAGTAGAGAAATATTCAGGTTTCGAACTCCGGACCAGAACCGCTGTCCGGACGGTGACGTTTCAGCTTCTTCCCGATTGACTATTTTGATGAAATATTTATGACATGTTTTTCATCAAATCTAGTTTATCCAAGAAGAAATTCAGATAAATATTCAATCGGGAAGGTAGTCAAATAATTTTTGGAAGTTAACTACGGTTTATATGTATATTCCGGCGCAGTTATCTTTCAAAAATCATACGACGGCCTTCCCGATTGAATTTTTAGCTGATTTTTTGTGTGGATAAACTAGACTTGATGAAGAACATGCCATACACATTTTATCAAAAAATTTCACCGGGAAGGGTCCCAAACTCCGCCGTCCGGACGGCGGTTCCGGTCAGGAATTCCTGACCAGAAGAGTACTCTATAAAGTAATTGTTTAAATTATTAATAGAATCCCATTTGCAAATGAAAGCAAACTATACGTCTACACATTAGATGTATGCATTTTATTTAATAAAAGGCCTCATTTGTGTGATTCGCACTGAGTCTCGTAATGTGTCAAGTTGGCCCTGTCTTAGGAAATAGCACCACCAAGCTCACATGCACACGATAGATCCATTTATCTTGGTCGAAAAGGTGGAATCTCCTACCCTAGGAGCCTTCATCCCGACCCGACAGGATGGTGGGGAGGTTAATCACGATAACTCAGTCAGCAATGACAGTAGGCCTTATACACGTGTGCACCAGAGGTCCAGCCTTATTTTAGGTTGTGTAACCTCCACACGGCTGCTGCGGGTTTCAAACTTTGGTCACTTGGTCCAATTTTCCCACCACTCGACCAACAGAGCTATCCGTGTGGGTGATAAATCCATTTATCAACTGGATTGGCCATATTTTTTATTACTACCCCCGTCCTGAAATAATTGTCCTGATTTGACCTTCGCACAGATTAAGAAAGTGAAATTGACGTCACATTATAGTGACACTGTTTGGCACTGTAGCGACACTATTTGGTACTGTAGCGACATTATTTTGCACTGTTTGACACTATTTTGTATAGATTTGTTTATCAAATAAAGAAAGGAGATGATTATTTCGGAACGGATCAAAAAAGAAAACTGGACAATTATTTCGAGATGGAGGGAGTATTATTTAGATCTCAGAGGTAACATTATTAGTGCCTTGGTAATACCTTTTGTTGAAAAGATAAGGCTCTGCTGTTTGCCTGGAAAAAGTACGCTGGAATAGTCCCAAAAATAGTTGTCATAAAAATTTGTGGTCCCATAAATGATTTTTTTAATCTTTGTTTTTAAGAGGTTCTGGTACAAGTTCGGATGCGAAATTTCGGTGCACCAAACATTCTTGATGAATAAATGATCTTTAATCCGTCAAAAACAACGAAAAATTGAAAATAATAATTCCAACTATTGCCGGTTCGCTAACAATAATTTTTTATTGATTATTTTTGTATAATCCCAACTATATGGACCGTCCGCCAATAATGGTCCGTGACCAAATATTACCTTATATAAAAGTGAATTTTAAATAGAAATTAAGCTTAAAAATTAAAAGTTAGGATAATTTATAGAGATTACTTGCTATATCTCTTCTCATCCACTTTAGAAAGTACATGTCAATCTTATATTGGTTATTAAAGTTTTCCGGAATATTTTCTTGGACACTATAGTGACATGTCAATCTTATATTGGTCATTAAAGTTTCAAATTTACTAAATCAAACACTCTAAAAACATGTGAGTCTCATACTTCCTCCGTAACACTCATATCTTCTCACTTTCCTTTTTTAGTTGTAACATTCATATCTTCCCATTTATAAATCTTCCTATCATACCTTCAATAATTTTAAAAATAATACACTATTGACGGATAAGTGTACCCGAGGGGTATCTATCTGAGGTGTTACTGCGGGAGTAACTTAGAGAGAAGTCAGAACAAAAGTGGAGAGAGAGTGTATATTGATATTGAGTGTGGTTTACAAATGGGGAAAGAGATGTTATTTATAGCAGCAATAAATGCTAGATAAGGACACGTGTCATCATTCTGGTGGTCGATTGGTCACCTCAACAGGGAAGCACTGGCACTCGCATGTGGCCGCATTAAATGCGGTGTTTGGATGTGACGTTTGTACTTGATACGTTGATCCAGCGCATGTGGATGGGAGATTCTGTCGATGAGATGCCTTCGGCTGTAGTCTGTAGATGGTTTAGCCGAAGGCTCTTCTTCCCGGGGACCTCTAAGTGCCGAGGGCTCTAAGTGCCGAGGGCTACTGTTTTCGCCATTTTCTCCCAGTACCTTTGTTTGCCTGAAATAGCTGTTCTGCGACTTTATAAGCCTTCGGCCATGGGGGGCGAAGGCACCCAAGTGTACGTCGTGGGCTGCTTGGCGCTTGGGGCGTTGTGATTTGGGCCTGCTGTGCTTCCTGGGCTCATTAGGTCTTTGTTATAGTAATAAGAGTATGTGGGCCGGGGGTCCCCGGGGCCATATACTCCATCAACTATTACAATTATTTTTTTTTAAATTTGTCTTTCATTCCAGCACACTATTTCATTATCTTTCCAGCATACCCTCAATAATTTATATCTCCTTTCACTATTCTTAATCTCACCTACTTTTCAAATGGGAAGATATATCTGTTACAGAGTTAGTATTAATTATCAAGATTTCATAATTCGTAGTTTTTGCCCACTCACTGACAATTCTCTTCTTCGTTTAATTAAAATTGTTAGTTTTATTTTTTCTTTCCTTTTTGGTGTTATAATTTTGAAATATTTAATTTGAGGTTTTAGAATATATAGTTCAATTTTACTTAATAACTTTTTATATTTAACAAGTAAAACATGTATTTAGAACTTTTCACTCATATGATTTTTATGGAACTTTCGGAAATAATGATTTGTTAAATTGATTTAACAATATTAAGAATTAAATTTCATTACAATAGATTTTCTTAATTGGAAAATCTAATTATATATTCTAATTTAGATACATGAATTAAGTTTTTATTTTTTAGGTGCATGAAACAAAGATATGACAAAGTTTTTAAGAACAGTTATAGCTTTCAAAAGTGAAAAATCTTTGGTACGTGGGCCTCCGAAAATGATGAGAAAAACGTTACATTTGAATCATTTGAAACTTTAGTCTCAAATATGAGATACACATGTAATCATAGTTGGACCTGTCCCCGGTTTCCGGTTTAACAGGAACCGGTCTGCGGCCAAGGATCCGAACCTGCGGTTAAGGGAGGCAGGTTCCGAACCTGCGGTTCGGTTAAGGGAGGCGGTTCCCGTTCGGAACCAGAAATTTTGAATTTTTTTAAAGAAAATTGATTTGTATGAAGTATAAGTTATTAAAAATAAATTACAAAGATTTGTATGACATCTTTAATGTTTTTTATATCATAGTGTATCATTGTATATCTTTAATTCACAAAGTATTGTTCTTATTTCTTAATGTTTTAATTAATTACATATAAATATCCTAAATAAATATAATATTTTAATTTGATTCACTAAGCTCAAATTTATTAAAAATAAATAAGTTACAAAGATTTGTATGACATCTTTATTGTTTTTTTATATCACAATGTATATCTTTGATACATAAAGTATTGTTCTTATATCTTAATGTTTTAATTAAATACATATAAATATCGTAAATAAATAATTAAAAATTAAAAAAAAAACGCCAAACCGGACCGGAATCGGCGGTTCCGAACCGGGGACAGGTCTAATCATAGTGATCAATTTGGCTCATTTGAAACCTTAGTATACATTTTGACTCTTATTGCTTTTTTTATTGATGCAAATATTTTTTTCTTTCTATTTTATAATTATTCTTACCCCAGTGGATTAGGGGAGGGCGGGAGGAGTCTGAGCTAAATATGGCTGAAATTGCGTTCATAGAGTTTCATACTCGAGATCTCCTATATGAGAGAGTAAATCAGCAAATTGGAGTGATTCCTATGTTGCAAATACAAGTACTTCGTAATCATTCTCAATTTCTCATTCAACAATTTTGAAACAGTAAAAAAATAATCATTATTAAAATTTTACCTTTTGCCAACGACTTTTACCCAGACAAAAAATTACTACCTCCGTCTCTTAAAACACGTTATCATTTTTTACTTTTCAAGTTAATGATCGTAAAGTATGTACCATGATTTTGATTAGTATAACATTTAGTATATTATAAATTTATACATTTATGAATTTTTTTTAGCAAAGAATATTTTCATATCATTTTTATATTATAGTTAACTTCATTTAAAATGTATAAATGCTCAAAGTTGAACATAGTTGATCAAAAAATTCAATGAGGACAAAGTTTTAAGAGCATATGTTAATTAATGATTTCATTATATTATAAATCCGTCAAAATTATTTTTCAAAGTATACTCGAATTAATTTATTTAATTAATTTTACTAGAAAATTTAAAGCCTATTTATGATTATTGACTACTTTTTACTCCTAGTCTAGCCTAGTTAGATAATTGACTCATAATTGTTTATGTACGTTGCAGGAAGTGATTTGGACTCCCCCATTAGGAGTGCGCCGGGATTCAACGGCATCATACGCCGGCGAGATCTGCCAAACTTCTGTCGAGCCGGAGACATCCATGATCCCACCATCCAACTCGTTCTCAAGGAGGACCGACATCTCCCCAGAGCCCAAGGCCTCATCTTCAACACTTTTGACTACCTCGATGGGCCCATCATCTCTCAGTTTCGGGCCGCGTGTCCCAACATCTACGCTGTCGGCCCGCTCCATGCTCACCTAAAGGCTCGACTGCACCACTCCTCGACATCCGTCAGCAACAGCTTGTGGGAGGAGGACATGAGTTGCATGGATTGGCTCGACCGCCAACCGGAGCGATCTGTCGTCTACGTGAGCATCGGAAGCTTAGCCATTATCAACGGAGACCAGCTGATGGAACTCTGGTACGGGCTGGTCAATAGCGGGTCACGATTCCTCTGGGTGCAAAGGCCTGGGTCTGTGACCTCATGCGGTTCGGGGTCATGCACCGAGGATTTGGTAGCGGGGACGAAAGAGAAGGGTTGCATCGTGCAGTGGGCCCCACAAGAGCGGGTGCTGGGCCACCCGTCTGTGGGCGGATTTCTCACCCACAGCGGGTGGAATTCGACGCTGGAGAGCATAGTTGAGGGAGTGCCCATGATGTGCTGGCCCTATTTTGTGGACCAGCAGGTGAACAGCAGATTCGTACAGGAGGTGTGGCAGTTAGGGGTGGACATGAAGGACGTGTATGACAGGGGAAGCATTGAAAGGATGATTCGGGAGGTTATGGAGGATAGGAAAGAGGAGTTCTTGAACAGGGCAAGTGAAATGGCCGCAATGGCCCGCCAAAGTGTGGAACAAATTGGCACTTCGTACCGAGATATGGACCGTCTCATTGAGGATATTAGGCTAATGACAAGGAGATGAGGATTATTGTTGGCTCCTCATTGCATTATATTCTTTAAAAAAATCCAAAATGTGTTTCGTTGCCTACACTTTCTATTATTAAGGAAATTACCTTCAATGGGAGTAAACATTTAAAAAGTGTAATAATAGGAGTTCTTAAGTTTATTTCCTCAAATAGGAGCTCATGTCTGCCCCTACCTCCAAATATATTTTTTCTCCTTAAATGTGCTTGCTTTATACAGAATCTTTGTCACATAACTACTCGTTTGTAACCGTTTCTTCCGGTTCCAGATTTCTGTGCAGCTTTCGATATTTCTTTCCTTCTTTCGTTCTTCCGTCTACGAATTAATGGACCGTCTTTGCTCTTCCTTCTGTTCTGAAGTGCTATTGGTGCTCATGTTGCGAATTTAGTTCTCTTCATTCATACTCCGTATTGTTGTCCCTTGCGTTTTCCGCAGGTAAGCTCAAAGCTTCATTTTCTGGAATATTCATTATATCTATCTTCAAACATATTGTTAAATCATATTTTGGACTGCTGATATGTAATTGTGCATATATGTGTTTCACAAATAGATTATGATAAGTCCAGATTTAATGTACTTCGTATTTGTTTTCTGAATTTTTTGGAATGGATATTTGTTGTGTACGAATTTCGATTTCTGTTCTTTAATTGATAATTTACATTGTGATTCGATGTTGTTTGATTATCGTTTTTAATTTTTTTATTATTACTTCATTGGTTTTATGGCATTGTTAACTACTCTCTCTTTGACATTAAATGTCATAATAACGGTTTTGCCTTTCTGATTCATATGTTTTTGTTTTTCTTTCACTCAGTTGTTCCCAACTTTTCATTGTATTTAAGCATTAATTTCTACAAATAGCTGTTGTGTTACAGTGTTGCTTGTTATGCTTAAATTGGACGGTACATGGTTGTCTGACTACACATTTGCATGTTTGGTTACATTTGGTATTCATATTGGGGTTGATTCTTCCTACACAACCTTGATTGATTTGCTGCTTGGCATCTTAAATAAGTACAAACCAAATCATTTGTTCAAGCTTTAGTATATGGTTGATGGTTGCCTGCCTCCTGTTTTTATTGTTGATGATGAAACTTTGAAATTTTATCTTTGTATGAAGTATTTGCTGTCGGATGTTGAAAAGTTGCCACTATGTGTGGAGTTTTGGTCTGAAATTGTTTATGTTCTTCATGATTTTATACCACTTGATAACTCAGTTACACATGGTTCTAGTACATCTTCATTGTCTTTGCATGTGAGTGACTCTGGCTGTAGTAATCAAGGAAATGACTTGCATACCAATTTGCATTCTACTCCCTCCGTCCCGTAAAGAAGTTCCTAGTTTGACCTACACACATATTTATGTAAGGTAGAGTTTTGTTTTGTCTTTCCAAGTATACCCTTACTTTATGTCAAATCAAACAAAAAGTGGGTAAAAAGTAAGGGTAGTTGTGACTTTTTGGTTAAAAGTGGTTTCCTTTTATAGAAATGAGAACTTCTTTTTGGAACATCCATAAAAGGAAAGTGAGAACTTCTTTACGGGACGGAGGTAGTATTAAAGAAGAAGATGAGTTTTCCTCTTCATCAGAAAGCAACATTTCATCATCAACTGTTTTGCCTAATTTTTCTGGTGTTCGTTCGAAATCATTATCCTTACAGCCTACCTCTGTTAACCACCTTGTTGACGTAATTAGTCATTATCATCCAACATGTGTTATGATTAATGATATTTACAAGAACAAAGCTGACTTACTTCATCATTTGAAGTTGTATGCCATCACCTACAGCTTCCAATTCAGAACTCTGACATCAAAGAAGAAGAAATTACACATTATTTGTTTGGATCTGTCCTGTAAGTGGGCAGTTCATGCAATCAGATTAGATGGTGTACAAATGCTTGAGATTAGAAGGTATATTCACATGTTACTCATATGTAATATAGTTTTTTTCTCTCAATTTTCTATTCGTGTATTATGTGATAACATGTTGTTCTTTGTCTTCAATTGGCGTTTATTGACATTTTCCTATTGGTATTGGTACATGTTTGATGTTGTACACACTTGCTTTGTTGACTATAGGCAACTTAACAGTGCACAGGCAACATCAAGTGTTGTTGCTAATCTTGTGGCACACAAAATTTTGGATGCTTCTGAAAAACCTTACATGCCAAAATAGATAAGGAATGATATGAATTTGCAATATCAGATTTCTATGTTGTACAAGAAATCTTGGCAAGCACAGAAACGTGCAACGGAAAGGCAGTTTGGATCTGATGCAGAGTCATACCAAAAGCTACCTTCAATGGTGTATGTACTTGAAGAAGCAAATCCAGATTCTGCCATAAAACTTATAACTGTTGTTGATGGTGCATTTCATTATTTTTTCATTTCACTCAAACCTTGGCGTGAAACATGAGAATTTTATAGACCTGTACTTATCTTAGATGGCTCGTTCATGAAGGCATATTACAAAGGTACTTTGCTTATGGCGTGTGCTCAAGTTGCCAACAACCACATCGTTCCCTTAGCATTTGCAATCTGTGATTCTCAAACAAAAGCAACCTGGCTATGGTTTCTAACCAGTTTGAGTGGTTCAATCTCTATGCGACGTGATATGTATATTTTGTCTGATCGCCACAAAGGCGTAATATCTGCTACTGCTAAAGTTTTCCCCCATGCTTTTCTTGGCTTTTGTGTTGAGCACCTGAGGCGTAATTTAATTTCAAAATATAGAGGTGGTGCCAATGGTCTTGGATGGAAGTTTAAAGCTGCTTATTCAGCTAACACTATGCTAGAACTTCAGGAATATTTATCAATGTTGGACTCAAAAGATGCTAGGATCCGACCTTGGTTAAATAAAATTGGTAATCATAGATGGGTTAAGTGTGTTGTTGGTTCACGCAGATATGACATCTTGACATCAAATTGTGTAGAATCTGTCACGCCCCGGACCTACCCGGACACGTCAACAACCCGCCGTACAGTACGAATAGTCAACCACAGTCCAACACATCCATACTGTACAAGGCATCTTGAATACCATTTACACATAGTACATCCATAAACAAACATAATGTAAAATATTCATTTAAAGCAGCGGAAACATTAATACAAGTGTTCAAGCCACACTTGGCATCATTAGGCATACAAGCCCCCAAATAATTATTCAAAAAAAATAATACACATGAGCATTATTATAATTGTTTTGAAACCGAAACGGAGGAAGCATGAACCACGTCTTCCCTCCTAGATCTTCCAGGAGCAACGGGCACTGGTAACAAGCTCGACTTCTACCTGAAACTTTGAGGTGGCCTCCCCCGTGAAGGGGAGGTCAGTACTTGGAAGCATTTGACAAGTACAATGACAACTATACTAAGTATAATCAATGTTTCAATTTCTTAAGACCCTCAATATAGGGTGATACTATTTTTATAGGTCATAACCCCCGGTTACCCTCTTTTAAAAAATATACTTACTTTATATATAAAGTCAAGTAGTCGGCCCGTGGCCCATATTCGTTTTGAAACGTCCACCCCCATTTCTCCGTAACTATTTGGAAAATTTTCCACTTTTGGTCCCTCGAGTATTATACCACTTCCGCATTACGTACCTGACTTTCAACTTGTCCACATTTAGTCCTGACGTTTTCTTCCTTTACCATCCATCGTCCTTCCGATCAAAACTCCGGCCGGTTGAATCATTTATTAAAAAGGGAAGGTTAGTCTAGTAATTTCATAGGCTGGTCTTCACTTCTTCCTCGCCAACTCCATCTGTATCGTAACCACCCCTTCTTTAATACCCCTTACATTATCCATCATTTAAACCTAAATCTCCAACGACAACCTCTGTAAGCTCCCTGTTCACTCCAACGACAACTCCATCTATAGTCCGTCGTTTTCCTCCTTCGTAGGCACTCCTCACTGTTCACTCCAACGACAACCTCTGTAAGCTCGAAGGCCACCATGTATAGCAGCAGTTCAACTACCTCGAAATCAACAGGCCGGTATGAATATGGAGAGTGGATTCCGGTCAAACATTGTCAATGTGGGAAAGAATTGAAGCTTTTGACTACATGGAAACCAGAAAACTGTGGGAGAAGATTTTGGAAATGCGTTGGAAATGAGGTATTAGTAGCATGGTGCAGCTTTAAAATTTTCCATATTTTTTGAGATGATTGATTTTGTAAGTATTTGTATTATGTGATTGCAGTGGTCTGAAGGGTGTGGTTTGATGGACTGGTTTGACCCTCCAATGTGTAAAAGATCCAAGAAAATCATTCCAGGGTTGTTAAGAAAACTGAATGGGTATGAAAACCACATTCACACATTGGAGGTGAAGCTGGAAGCAACTGAGAAACCAGAAAACAAAAAAGATAAGATGGAGAAGATAGAGCACAAAAGATACTCTTGCAGCAGACTTGGCGTGTGCATTATAACATTTTTTGTGGTTTTTGCATCCATGTATGCACATAGAAAATAGTCTTGTAGCATGGTTTTTATGTATTCCGAACAATTTTGAGGAATGTTGGTAATATCTTTGAAATGTATTGATGCCAAATGTTCATGTTGATGACATGTATATATGAAGTTCTTTTGCATATTCAATGTTACAACTGTTGTGTTACATTATAAACTGGAAAACATGGTTCACTACAAACACACTTAACTTGAAACATATACTATGGTCACTAAAAGAACTGAATTACAAACATAAACACACTGGTATATCATCCCATTGAAAATAAACATAAACAACATGTCATATCTCCTGGTGGGCAAACAGAATTACAAACATAGACACACTAAAATTACAGTCATAGCAAATGTTTTGTACTTCCAAAACAACCACCATTTACACATAGCAACCTGTAATATCTCCTGGTGGACAAAAAACATAGTGATAACTACACTGAAGTTCATGGTACAACAAACACTACAATAAAACCTACAGCAAAATGGAAGCCCCTACAGTCCTTTCCAAATGATTGACATCAAACACTAGCCAAGGTGAATTGGGTCTGCATCATTCCCAAAAAAACAGACTTGAAGGTCGTTTTGGATCTGGTAGAATAGGTTGGTCCTTTTTTTATGTCAAGTTTTTTGAGCTTTGGTTTTCCATGTCCTGAGTTCACCCCTTGTGGTTGTGCACCTTTTGAACTGAAAGTCTTAGAAGGAGGGGGTGGTCCAAAGCTTATCCTGACCCCATGAGTATTTCTTTGCTCAAACCCATGGGTGTTGTCTTTGTCAACATCATCAATCTTG